GCCTCTCTTCACCTGAAGGAGCTTTTCATGCATTGTCAAGACTTTCCAACTCAACAGGAAGAGTTGTAAAATAAGAAAGAATAAAGGGCTCAGCCTATAGGCGTGTTTTAATACAGTAGGGAAAAGAACAAGTAAATTGGTGAAAAGGTTAGAAAGACGAAGGGAACAGGGAGGAAGGGAGAAGAGACTGACATGATCAATAGTTTGCCGAAGGAAGCGCTGCTGCTGTGAGGTCTGCACTCAGTTATGAGATAAGAGAGAACAATGGACCTGCACCACCAGAAGCCACATAAGGTCAGGGAAAACCCACAGAGAGTGTGGGCTGTCCAGTGCACCCTGTGGAATAGCAGTGATAAGGTGGTTTAATGGTAACACAACTATAGAAAAAGTGTTGCTTAGAAGTCACTGTTTAAAATTATGAAAAAGCAGTGTCACTAAAATTGTTATGGTTTTTTTCCCCTGCATTCATTTGTAACATTTCCTTTTAAGTAAAAAATCTCTCTGATAAAGACTAGGAAGGAAAATTTTAAAATACATAGCATATTGGGACATCGATACTTCATAGACTTATAGTTGCCAGTAAATTTAGTAAGTACATTTCCAGCAATAAAAATTTAAATAGTTAATTTGAACATGTAGTCCATTTATTTCCTGTCCACAAATCTGCTTGAATATTCTTTCCTTTTCATTTTAACTTACTCTGAGAGTAATTTCCAAAAACTGTTGGTTGTTAGTGGGCATTTTTCTGTAGGTTTACAAAAAAAAACCTCAAAACCCCTCAATCAAACAAGTTTGGATTTAATGTGTTATTCACATGATATTTCTGTGACACTACTGAATAATTATGTGTCTGTGAAAGTGTTTGGAAGAAATTTAAAGGATTCAAAATCTGCTATCAGTAAAAATCTTAACTGTTGACTGTGCTGAAGTACATTCTTGACAGTAATTTTTTACTGCCAGAATATTTATAGGAAGCAAACATAAAATGGACAGAAAAACAGTCAATAAAAAAATGAAAAAACTTTGCCATTTCTTTTCAGACAACTGCAATAGTTCATTATCTTCTTCCAACTGGTGAAAAATTCCTATTCTAGCTGGCTTTTGAGGATATAAACCAGAGCCATGTTTGAAGTACCTTTGCAAATCACTGTAGTGCTTAATTGTTTTGGTTTTTTTCCCCTTAAACATTTTCCTCTGTGCAGAGGAAAGGAGAGAGGGCAATTCCCACTTGGTCCCCTTCTTGCCACACCTAACAGAAATTCACAGAGAATTTCAGTATGTTTTATGTGCTCCGTTGTCCTTTCCCCTGCACACGAGTGTGAAGAGTCTGCATATGACATCATTATTGGGGATGAGCTTATAATGAATGCAATAATGTAAGCAAAATGCCTGTTCAGCACCTGCAGTGCCAGCTGCAGAGGCTGCTCCCCTTCACGGCCTGTTGGTGCTGTGGTTCCTCACTGCTGGCAGGGTGGGATAGGAGAGCTGTGCGACACATCTGTCTACCACTGCCTGAGAGGAGCCTCAGGACCTCCGTACCAGTACAAATCTGTGAGTGCAGTGAATCTGTGTGAGGGGAAACCCCCACAAAAATAGTGGGAATGGGAAGGGCCAGTGCATCCACACCCAGCCTGGCCTGCCTTTTCTGAAGCCAAAAATAAAATTACATGCATGCTCTGTTGTCACTCTCAGACTGCCCTCCTCTGTTTGAGAGATAATAGTGTGTATATTCCTTTGCAGCAAATGCTGTGGTGGGAATTTATGCTTAGGAGAGTCCACACAGTGTTGGAGGTCAGAGAGTCAAAGATACCCTTCTGTTTATCCCCTTGCAGTAAGGCAGGATTTAAATGCTCATTCTGAGATTCTCCCTTCCAGCCTCCCTTGACCCAGTCTGGAGTTGGCTGACTAATTAAAAGAGAATAAATATGTCAGTGCTGACCCCAGGGATAATGCAGAGACAGGTCTTAATTTCCAGTTTTCAGATGTTGAACTGTGATGAAATGGTAACAGTGATACAGCGCTTCACAGTCCTATTAAATCTACTTTATACAGCCAGTACACAAAATCTGATGGAATGAATGACCTTGACTGTACTTCCCTTCTCTCCCTAGATATAACCCAATATATCCTAATTGGGAGAGATGCTACTGGCATCTCAAACAAATGTTATTTTTCCCATCATAATTTTTTTTAGCATCTCAGCATATCTGCTGCTCTTATGTGCCCTTGCCATGACCAGTCCTTCAGTTTTCTGGAGGGAATCATCACCACTACTAACCACAGTCCTACTAGATCTTAATTTTCAAAATTGCATGCATTCCTGTATCAGGAACTTACACAGAAGAAACTGTGAGGACAGCATCCCGTTTGGTCTGTGAGGAGACACCATATCAAAACTTGCCATAGCAGCAGGCACTGTGATTTAGGAATCAAGAGGCAAAGCGCCAAACTGATGCAATCATCAGCTAGCCTGGCTGAGCATATAAGCCAGTGAGCAAGGCTGCCAAGCTGAAGGAGCACAGAGCTGTAAACCTGCCTTCAAAAACACCACAAGGTGTAAACTTCAGGCTTGTCAGTCTGTACCACTGTCCAATACTACAATGAATAAATCATTATGTTAGAAATCAAACTTAGCTTTCAGCTTGCCTGGGATGGTGCCAGCCTATGTCTGAAGCGTGCCTGAGGGGACAGCAAGCCGCGGGCTGGTGAACTGAGCAATTCATGACAACTTGTGCTGGCACCCTCAGCCCTCCAAAGCAGGTCAGCAACACAGAGTGTGTTCAGAGAAGAGACTGAGACAGAAAGATAGCTCAGAAGTGTATCTTTCTCTTTGCTGTGATTTTCCCCCCTGTCCAGTTCCTGGGAACAAAGCATACATTTTGTAGATCATAGGTGGCGGGGAAAATAGCATGGGCCACTCCCTATCCTTCATTGTGTGTTCGCCCACGTTTGTTCATTTGCCCTTTCTCTATCTCCTCTGGTCTAGGAAGCTTTTCTCATGGCATCAGCTGCTTTGACTCAGTTACTTTTTATAACCTACACAGCTTGTTTTTTGTTTTTTTTTTTTAAGATGAGGATGGGGCTATTTCTACACCATGTCTGGATTTGAGAAGCTATTTGTAAAAGAAGGGAGAGTTGAACTCACACATTGGTGAATTGAGACCCCAGTGCACATGAGGGCATAACGTTGTGGGCTTCTTCATTATGGGAGCCCAGAGGAAGAGGAGAGAACTCTGAAGTTATTGGATAACTAAATAAATAATCTATGCCTATTATATGCCTTCATGCCTTCCAAAGGGGCTACATAAAGTAGCAAAAGTGTCACATAAAATGTCATTGGGTTTAAATCCCTGGAGATTAGCCAGTTGCCAAACATCATGATAGCAAACCAACTCTGATATCTAAAGCACAGAATCTAAAGAAACTGAGCTGCTATTCCAGTAAGCTGCACAGGACCATGTAAAACTATGTCTAGATCAGCTGAGTTCAGAAGTTTAGTCCATTGGGCACTATTCTTTCAGCTGCACAAAGCACTTTCTGTCCTCCTCTCATTGATACTACACTGAAAAGAAAAAAATTTCTGCCAGTTCTTCTGGTGTCACTGAAATGACATGAGCTATTGAAGCAATATAGCTGTCTGTAAAATTCAGCACAGAGAAGATACGTGTACCGGTCTGTGTACTCCTTTTCAAAAACCCTCCAAAAACCAAAACAAAACAAAAAAACCCAGCAGGGTTAGGACACAATGAAACGTAAGCCCTTTATTTCTGACAGAATTATTTGCTTGTAAGCACAATGTTCCCAACATGTGATTTTAGCAAAGTATTAAGTGATTCTAAGGAAATCAATCTCTTTCTACTTCCTTTCTATGGAAACATGAATTTACTGAAATTGTTGCACTTTTAAAGCATAAATCACAGTGAAAAATAAACTGATAAGAAACATATTTGTTATCTACTTTCAGGCTTTTATTCTTTCCAGTCTAATATTCTGCTAATGACTAATCAGTCTGATAACTTTTAGGGATAGAGTTTGCTATTTTAGGAAATTCCCCTGGATGAAAGTTATTTCTATAGCAGTTATTCTTAGAAGCATTTATGGAAGAAAGGGAGCCAGTGAAGCACCAGTGGAGCAGTGACTCACCACAGCACTACTAATTGCCAACCAAAAAAAATCTTTTGCTTTGCGAATCAGAAAGTCAGCTGCATTAAAGAAAAAGAAAGCACTACATAGTTGAGAACCAAACACTGCTCATGATCTTTTGCTATTAAAACTATGTGGGATGGGTGCACAACCAAAAACAGTGACTGATAAACATCTGAAATTACTCCTTTTGAGATCTATATCTCTCCACATCATTTTCCTGCCAACCCAATTTCCCATTGCTCTTGACTCTTTCTTTATCATCTCTGCAACATCTGCTTGGCTTTGACTTTTTCATCTTCTGTTGTTCCACAGCTTGAAATATGTTAAGTAAAAGGCAGCTAAAGGGACTGCTGGCAGCCTGCAAAAATTTCAATTTCTAGGTCTCTGGCTAGGATCCAGGTAGGTTAGTGGCAACTGAAAGTGATTACCACCCCATGCCTGCTTGCTGACCTCAGTGACATTTCTTGCTGGACTGGCCACAGCAGTCTTCTCAGCAGGAATCACCCACTCTGTGCTGAAATCAAGCCACTGTCCCCCCTGCAGAGTCAAGGTTGTGGCAGGGCTGTCTCCAAGAAGCCACAGAAATAGACATCTTCATCTTCATCTTCATCTTCATTTTCATCTTCATCTTCATCTTCATCTTCCTTTTAAATATATTAAAATAACTCATTATTCTTATTTTCCAGCTTATACAGAGATAGCATGAGAGCTAAGGCTGTGCAGAGCTGTGGCTGTGCTTAAATACTCTGCAGATGACTTAACAATAAGCATTACTCTGTGTAACTGAGTAAACTAAATAAGTATGGGTATAAAGCTCAGCATTTATTGAGGTGACACGTTATCTCTCTCTCCAGGCAACTGGTTTGCTTGATGTGTCAGAGAAAGAGAGAGAGAAGAAAAAGTCTCCATGTCTCATGCTGCAGCCTGATCATAGCTGTTTCCAAGAGAGCTGAAAAGCTGTTTTCTCCTTTCTTCCTCTCCTCCTGTGTTGTGATCTGTCAAGACCAGGAACTGGTTTGTCCTTTGCTCTTCACATATCTAAATTAGAAACAGAAACATTTTCTTTCCTTCC